TTTCTTTCTCCCAGTCAGTCCATGTTGTTTCATGATATCTTCATATCCGGTGTTGTCCATTCCGACTTTAGCGTCTAAGTCCCCAATCAGGATGGTCATTTCTTTTCCTGGTCACTTCTCTATGATCGATTGAAGCCTCTCGTAAAAATGATCTTTATCATTGATGGGTGAATAACATAAGATAACATTCATTGTGATTCCCTACTTTGTTTTAAAGGATGTTTTGATGATCTTGGATCCATCAAATTCCCATCCTATAAGTGCATTAAGTGCTTCTTTGGACAGCATCAGAGCGACTGCTTGGGTATGCGGAGCAGTCTCCTCTTCTTGACCAGAGTACAGCAACATCTCTCCCGAAATTATCCTTTTCTGTCCGACTTGGATCCAATGTGCTTCAATGATTACGAGCATCGTCAAATTGTATCTCCTCATTCCGGCAGCTATTTGATTGATCCTCTCGGTCTCCCACATCGTTCGAACATTCCGTGTACACATATCAATTGTTGCTCTGGTTCTCAGAAGGGGCATAGGCTTCGTGACTTCCGAAGAATATCAGCTTTCTCCATGAGACGTCATAATTCTTCCCTCAACACGTAGGACAGAGTTTAAATTGTTTATTTTGGTTAGCGTTTTTTAGCAAAGTTATTTTTTACGACATGTGGTTGCCTAACCTTCCTCCTTTACCCGGTTTAGGGACCGGCATTTACCCTATAAGAGCTACAGGAGGAGTCAATTATTATAGTGTACTTGAAATACAATCCTTCTAAAGTATTTTTTATTTCATTTTTCGGTATTTTTTTTGTCAACTCTGAGTTGTTTAACAAGTATAACTGGCTTAAGAAAATTTATGAAATTAGTTGATAACAGCGTAGATCTCTAGTCAGATTATTAGACAGGGGAAGATTTCCTAATGAAATAACAATAAGATTATTATTTAAAATGTGCATATTTTAAGCTTGTGGAGAAGACTTGTAGCTCAGGTGGATGATTTCGATTGTGTTTTGTTCTCTGAGCTGGATGGTTATTTAATAATTTCCCATAGTCAGTAACTGTGATTTCTATTGTTTTAAAACAATTATGTTCATTTCATGATGTAAGTTATCTTATATAGTTCTAAGATCTAAGAAAAAAACATTTCTGCTACTCAACGTTATTAAGATCACTATTGTTGTTGCCATGTTCAATTAGTAGTTTCTTTTAAAATCATCATTCTATTAAGTAAAAAAAATAGAGTATTGTAAATCTATTTTATTTAACAACAAGCATAATTCTGTTATCATGATGATATATGTAAACGTATTTTAAAAAAAACAGTAATAAATGAGAAAGAACAAAAGCACCAATTAATTTGTAAGCTTTTACACTCCTTTGATTTTTATAAGTAGTTGCCTATACTTTGGAACTTAATGATATATATATATATATATATATATATATATATATATATATATATATATATATATATATATATAGAGAGAGAGAGAGAGAGAGAGAGAGAGTAGTTAGTCAATGAACATATACAACAAATATAGCGGGAGTATAGCGTATAGTGTGAATACTCACGAGGATAGGAAAAAGAAGTGCTTTATAATGTAGAGAAGCATTAAATTCTCTATTTCACATTGCAGACATACCGTATAGACTCACACACTAAATGATGCTACTGTATGCATACAACACATAGGATCATTTTTCACTTATTCTGTTTTAGCAATGGTTGGATGGAAGCACACACACATATATATATGTTATATATTATGTGAAAGGCAGTAATATAACTTTAGTTTTATTATTTGGAAGCTGTGTTAGAGTGAGTGAGTGAGTAGGTAGGTAAGATAGGATTCCAAGAAATTTCCATTTATTTATCAGTATTGGGGAGAGCACAGGTCATCTGTTCTAGCGCTCAAGTAAAAACAAATCTGTGTGTGGGTGTATGGGATAAATATGAAAAGGGAGAAAAAAGAATTAATCAATGAACTTGTCTCATGAACAAAAGTAGTAGAGTGAGAAAGACAGAGAAACTGGTATTCTCTGATAGGAAAACAGAAGAGAAACTGCTCTATTTATTTATTTATTCTGATCGATTCGTGCCATTCACGTGGTTTGGCGTGGCGTTGTGTATATATCATGTAACATTCTGCCCGGTTATCATAATGATGCTTAAGCAAATTTGACCAATCATAAATTTTTATAGATTGAAAATGAGCTGAAATGAAAAGTAGTTTTAGTTTTATAGAGTGGGACTATTTTAACCAGAAATGATGGGTGTGCCTTCGTAGGAAGCATATAATTATACCAAATATGTATACAGATTACTTACACACGGGTGCTACATTTATAGACATACACTTAAAAATTGATTTGAACAACCATTTTGGATGTTGATGAGAATAGGACGAATTTTTAGAGTTGTTAATTTGAACTGTAAATACTTAAGTTGCAAGCTAATCATCATTATCTATAGGCACAAAATAGGAAAACTCGGTTTAAAATATTAAAGAACAGGATACGAACTACATTTAGGTTGTATGTCTTTTAAACAAGTGCGTGTTTGAATTTCATATATTTTCTCATGGCATTAAATCTTATTACTATCTCTGTCATTTTATTTATTGCCTTACAGTTGGAGGATATTAACCACATATTTTTAGGATTGCTGAATGATGAACTACTCTTTCTCTGACCAGATTCAGAATGAAGGCATGAGTTTAAGGTTTATATCGTCTTGTGATTGGGACATTTACTACTCATACCTAGTTATATACTACCCACACACTTAACACTGGCTAACATACGAGTAGGTTTTAAAAAGGTTAGAAACGATTTAGACAAATGCACATTTGTGTTAGCTACTACGTTTTTTGTTGAGATGACTGACTATAAATGATGAGTTTTGTTGACTCATATACTAAAATGTCATTTTTCATAAGCCCTGAGATTGTACTACCTAACATCTCATTTATGTTATGCTTGTTTTTAAACTTTAATTGTTCACTGGTCATCAGCTTGTTAATAGTTCAGATATAAATATTTTAAGAATATACATAGAAGGAGAATTTTTATCAAGTCTTATTAGTTTTATATTGAATAGTTTTCAGGGTTTATTACTTGTTGTTTTGGTTCCCACTAAACGGTCATCGACTTGAAAAATCTATGCTCACATACTATAAGTGTTTGTCATTATATTTTGATTCATCATTTATTATACTATCTTGAATAGACCTGGTTTGACAAACCAGATCTTTATACATCTGGTAGATATTGGAAAAAAAGGAAACTTAAATAAGGACTTTAGTCTAAATTTGAACGAATAGTTTCACAATATTTGGGCGTCGAGTTAATGTGAGACATTAAATAGGAAAAATGTATTTGTAAAATCTCAGCAAATGATTTTTAAGTAAATCCAACGTTTCGCCTGGCAATCTGGTCCAAGCTTTTTCAAGGAAAATATAATCAAACAACTACAAAAGGAAACGATCACAAGATATACTGATTTTCATCATTTTATTGAAATAATACTCTCATTCTTTTTGTTTCGGTTCGATGGAAAAAAAGTATAAACTATTATTATTCTTCAAGAAATATAATCTCAATCTGTTTCACAGTTAAAACAATGAATTTCTATAAGTAGTGAAAGTTTTTCATCACAAGTAATTCAATCATTAATGTGAAATAAATTTTATCAGTTAGGAATGATTTCTCTCTCTCATTTTCAAGTTAAATAGAATTGATATTAACTGTCATTAGTATTGAATAAAGTTAATAGCAATACAGTGTACTTAAAAGTTAAGTTTCAACTGGATAGCAGGTTCGATTTCCAGTCTACTTATTTCAGTTTCAACAATTAAGTAAGATTGTTAACCCTTATACAATTAAATAGCTATTGCAAATTTTTTAAAAACAATTTTATTTCGTAAAATATGTATATTGTTGATTCAATAGATCTACATGATCTATACGTTAGGTAATAAAGGAAGGGAGGATGCGCACTGTTGAGGAGTCCCATACTGGGACGAAACGGCCGTCCAGTGCTCCCAGGTTTCCCATGGTAGTCTAGCTTCAATTGACTCATGATTTCAACCAATGAAATTTCTAAAAATCTCCACAAAACTCCGTCTGAAGCTTCAGCAATTGAATTAACAAAATTGTCGTTTGAATAAACTAGCGTCTGCTCATCTTTATCATAATCAATTAATGGGAGAGTTTGTAAATATATCCAATATTTTTTACTATTATTATTATTACAGAATCTTAATGTATTTTTTATTCTTTTTTCTCCTTTGACAAATTAGCTACCCAAACACAATATATGAAAACAAAACATCATTTATACATTATGCATGACGGTCGTATTAATATGTGCGCTTTAACTACAAACAATATTGACCATATTGCACAAGCTATACATGATACGGTTATTAATGTCAAAGAATAATCACTGGAAATTACTGATTATGAACAAAATTTTGTTTAGAATAAATAAAGAAAGAAAAGAATACGGGATATATGTGTAGTTATTTTCCTCTTTCATGTTAGTTACAATTTTCATATATTTATTTTTTTTTAAAAGGAGAGATTAAAGAAATTAACAGTTGGTTGCCTTTCTTCTTCTTCATCATTATATCGACGTCGTCATCATCATCATCACACAATATTCCTTAGTTCTATCATGTTGGTTTTCACCATTTACTTCTTCATTGATACATTTCTTTCATCCTAATGTATTTCTTCTACCACTGGTGTATCATACACGAAGTGTTTTCTTATTTATATAACCATTTTTCTCCTATTAGTACATTTATATATGATTGAATATTTGTAGTATTTTGTATTAGTTACCACTACTAATGATTGAGATGGCAGGTTATATCCTTTTTTAATGCACTATTCCTCGTTCTTTTGTGTAAGGTTAGTATATTGTATTTTTATTGACAGCATCTAATAAATGTGCGAATAGATAGTAGTATACGAAGTTTTGGAAGTATATGTTTTTCATTTTTATCGTAAATTAAATAAATAGGTTTGTATGGTTTTGATGTTTTTCTTTTATAATTCCGTATCAATATTACATGCATGTTGAAAATGCTGTTTTGCGATTAAATAAAGGCTTTTAGCTCTAGGTTGTTTCAGTTAGAAATTCGTCAATAGAGCAGTTATTCTGGGGGATTTTTTCGCACTAACTAGACATCTAAATTTGCTAAAAATGCTCATGAATTTATTCATATGTTATTAAGAAACTTAGACCGATGTGATTGTAGTCTTGTTAAACAGTTAGACGAACACCTTTCGGCAAATGAATTTATTACTCATTTCTTACGTAAGTTATCCGAAAAATACGTGATCTAATTTGACCAGTATTTGTCGAATAAGTCCTCAACTAATGCGGTATCTTTCAGTTTCCTAATTAGATAAGCTTTATATGGACATGTGCACTTTAATTTACTGCATTTTAAGGATAAACTAACTTTTTTATCTCAATAACTAAAGGTGAATAATAACGTTTCTTTGATACAATCTTATCCATTAGGCTCGTTCTATTTCCCGCAAATTATTTTATGTATGATTAACAGATGATACGAGGCCGTATATAAATGGTTATAGAAGAACGTAATAGCTAACAAACGTTTGTTCAATACATAGTCAATCAAAATCGTTAGTCGTCAAACTATTCAACATTAGTACCGTTTGTAACACAAGCTTCGACATTTGTATTGCAGAATAGAATTAGTAAGGTTTATGAGAACGGGATTTGGGTTTTGTCACGACTGTAGTGAATAACTCTAAAAACTGACTCACACTTACGCATTGGTGTTAATCGCCCAGTATTCTACATTAAAAATTCGGGATATTTCATTGGAAGGGTAACAGATCAGGTATTATTAGACATTATTGCAACTTGGAACGAGGCCATGCCAATCTTTAGATGAATCATTTGGTTTATGTTGACTATCAGTCTACAGAACGAAACTACTGAAAATTAGAAAAGGAAGTATTATTGAGCTAACTATCCGAGTGGCAGCAGGTCCTACTACTCATCAAAGTCTATTGACCAGGGTATTCTATGGAAATCGGAATCCCTTATAGATTCGTACCTCCAAAAATCAACTATATAACAACACAAGTCCAGAATTAATTTTATGGCTGATCCATATGGAATACTTAACCTAAATAGGTAGATAACTTTCTAACATTTAGAACAACAAGTCTTAGTGCTAATATAAATAATGTGAGCACTCCCAGGGATAGATATTCAGCCAGCTGACAAGTAGTAAGTGGGACGAAACTGGCGTTCTGTATATTTGTTTGCCTCATCTATTCATAGGGCTTATGCTGACTCATACTTCGAGCGCTGAGTGAGAAGTGACTAGACAAACTAGATATTGTCGTAGCATGAATACTTTAAGTTTAATAATGATTGAGAAATATGTACCGATAAGGTTTTAATTTTTTTATTTAAACACATAAACATTGGTACAAAGAGGCATCAAATAGATATGCGCCACATAAATCACTCGATTTGTGCGAGGGTTGGGATACTGCCAAGGTGCCCGGGTCGAGGCACATGGTCTTCTTAAGGGGCCACACCCGGAGCCTTCGACCTAGAGGTCTGATCCACAAGGTAGTGGAGCAACGTCAGGAGATGCAGTCCCATGGTAGCCGGTGAGCAACAACAGGTTTATACGCCTTTTGTTCTTTCAGGATCCTGGAGCCAGTCCATGTGCACCACTGATTTGGAATCAAGGTTTTCCATTTCTCCTAGGTGGACTCTCCGTGTCCACTGGAACTGAGTTATCTTCCTTTATTACTTTCGGAATGTACCCAAGTGACTAGTATGGTCCAATTTCAGATAGGTACATTTGTCCTTTAGAACCGATTTTTATACGGGCGGTCGATAGACACCTACGATAAACATTTATGCCATTGCATAGTTTTAAGATGCATCCATATTGTCATACTTATGGGTCGTTCAATAAAGTAAGACACAGCGCACTAAGACCATGGAAATCATAGATAGGGCAATTAGCCTACTTGCACTCATTTTTAAATGCCACTAATTAGTCATAGGCTATTATGAACCTTGAATCAACCATAATAACTGTTTCCACAATGTTCGAAAAAAATTGTTTAAAGGCTGAGTTATTTAATCATTCAGTTGATGAAACTTTACAGACAATCACTTAAGATTGAGTTGATAATCTGGGTAGAACTCACATAACACAATGAAGCAAGAAATTGCCTTGGCTGTATTAAGTGGACAAGATTTAGTTGCTTGATGAACAGATAAATGAACTATAAGATTTGTTCGATCAATTCGAGCATCAATTTAAGATTTGAATGTAAGTGACTTTAAATAATCTTGCGAAACTTTGAGTAGATGTAGTCTTCTGCTCTTCTAACTTGCGGGCTGTTCTCCCCCAATCACAAGATTGTTTGTTTTAATCACTAACAGAATGCCTATCAACAACTCAACATCTAGTTTCCTGTATGTTTCTTATTGGTATGAACAAACCACGACTGAAAGTTTATGACTAGAAATTCACGAATTAGTGGGGATGTAGAAATGCGATGCGTAAATTCAGAGCAGTACACATTAAGATTCACAACTTAAATAACTAAGTATAAATTTTATCGTGATATTTGATGGAAGAGACTGAAGGTTTGATAACTTTGTCAGATTTCATACATAAAACACAAGATAGATTAAAGTACCTATTGCTTCTTAAAGTCTATAACTCTCAACAATTAGTTTTTCCCTACCACCACCGTGTTTGTCTTGATTCAGTTTACGGGCTTTATCAGAAACCACTTATATTATCATTAGAATACACCACTATATAACAACAACTAATGGAAGACGACCAAATAGTTTAAAGTATTGGGTTGAGACATTTTTGTTATAAGCGCTAGCAATATTCGGTTAACAAAGGTGACCGTAAGAAGTAGGTTCTTTCGTACAACCAGTTACTCTACTCAGCAACCTATCAAGTATATGAGATACAATCTTATTACAAGATTAGCGTAAACAAAGCTATACTAGCTATAAAGAAAAAACTAAGATAGTTAAATATAGCCTGTTTTTGATGTAACTAATAAATATTTCAAGCACGTAAAATAGCAGAATTTAAATGTACACATCACTAATATATAGTGGTTTTTAATAAATATATGACTGACATACATAGAAATGTTGACTTCAAAACAAATTCGAACAAAAGACAACACGAAATAAAAGTTAGTTGATGGTAGGCTGAACACTTGGAAACATTTGGATTCTGGAATGTTTTTCAGTGATTACATTGTGACAAATTACGAAGACAGAACTAAAGAAATTTCTCTGCGTTTGTACAACAAATTATCATATGTTAAAATAATATCCGGTGAAAGTAATGTCCTTTAAACAAACGAGTAAATATACTTACATAAGAGATGCTAATAAACATTTTATACAGCTGTACAGATTATAGGAAGGTTAATTAAACAAATGTGACCAGCATGGCACAGCTACGTAAAGCGTCAGTCAAAAATAATTGTTATAAGAAGCTATAAGTTGGTCGTAGTCTTTGAATCAGTAGCATTATCAGTAGTAAAAAGAACAACGTTAGGTACTTTGATTAGTTCACAGCAGTTTTCATTTGACGAATTTACAGCTGTTTGAGTTTCTTTTAAAGCTGCTCGACATCTAGTTTTGTTGAATTGTATTTTAGATGTTAGGCGGAGATTAGTTAAAAGATCATCCGATGGTTCCTCCAATTTGGTTTTTATCTCTCGTAATTTATCTTCTGTATCTTCCTTCTGGATGATATGGTTTCCGTCGCCTAATGTTAAATGCGAAGCATTTTTTGTATCATCATTACAGTGCTCATTTTCTTCTGGATCACGTGATTCACTATCGAACTCTACAACTGCTGCAGCAACTTCTGATTCATTTTCACTTAAATGACTACTTAAATTTTGTTCATCTGTTCCATTACACAACTCTTCAGTTTCCTTTTCAGAAGTCTCTATATTCGTCCCTCCTTGAAGTGTTTGTGCCAGCAGTGGCAGCACACTGGATGGTTCAGCACCTAGACTCGTACCTCCATCGATCTGATCATCTAGTCCACTGGTTCTTAGAGACCCTCTATTAGAAAAGTAATGTTGTAGCGATCTGACATGTCGCTTTTTATCTTCAAGACGAATAAATTTCTCATCACAAAGTTCACAGGAATAAGGTTTCACACCAGTATGAAGTCTTTCATGTCGTTCACGACAGAATTTTCGGTTAAAAGTTTTCCCACAGTATCTGCATCGATAAAACTTGTTGATGGGAGTTGACGGACTACTTTCCGATGGTTCTCCAGTACTTTTTTGTAGTGGTGGGAGAGGTAATCGATCATTTGTAGTCGCTGAGCGAGAAACACAATCATTCTCAAGTGACAGACTATTTTTATTTGCTGGAGGAAATCTAGTTCCAGTTGCCTTTTTTGTATCATGAGCACGATTACTATTGACCTCATCACCTGTGATGGTTTGGTATGTTCCGTTGCTTTCGTTTTTGCGTATTTTTAGTTTATTGTCTGACTCTCGATTTGCATTAGCACTCATACACCCTTTTATGGTTTGGAGAATTCTGTCTATAGCAGATGTAGTAGGATCAGAACTTGAAGTTGGAGCTTGACTGGAGTTAGATGTAACTTTTGAAGTGCTTTCCGTGACATAAGTCAAAGTTTTATCAGTTTTATGTGATGTTTGGTCGAATGAAGTGGTAGATGGGACCATATACGAATTAGTTGTGGTGGTGATTTCGGAAATAGCTCCTGTAGTCTGGATTACTGTGGATGTAACTGGGGTTTGGAGTAACACAGGTGAAGTTAGTGTTAGACTTGTAGACTGTGATGTAGGTAAACCCTGGAAGGACAATGCTGCAGGGACAGCTGTGAGAGGAGTTAAATGAGATGTACCAAATGCATGTGCAGATGCTGGAGTTAGTAAGAGATTCATTTCTGTTCCTCCACGGGGATAAGATAGCATAATAGAACTGCGAGTTGGCATATTCTGTGTTGGAGTAGAAACTGTATGACAAACAGTCGGTGCCTGGCTTGAAGTAATAACACCATTTAAGTTAAGAGTTGATTGAACAATCCTATTAGTCAATATGTTGTTCCCATGGCCTGCCGATTCATCAAAACCAATTATATTTGCCTTTGTTGAGGCAACAACATTGACGGAGGAAGGAATGCTGTTTGTAATCAATGTTAGAGATGCTGGGGGATTGTACGAATTCGCATCAATGGTATTGGAATCGGTTAGTTCTTGGTTTGACTGTTTCACATTGGTCAAACTCCGTAGCAAGGCAGCAGCCACTAAGGCTGCGTTGCTATTAACGGGACCTGGTTGAGCATTATTATGCAACGTACTGGGTAAAACTGTTGACACAGGAGTCGACAATCCTGTATTAGATGTAAATATTGTTTCTGATGGATGTTGTCCAGTAACTGAACATGTTGCTGGAGAATTAAGTCCTAAGGTCCCAATTAAAGCTAAAGTAGGTCCCACTGAAAATGCCGGTTGCAATGGTTGCTGTTTTTGTATCTGAGCTTGTACTCCCTGTTGCTGTTGTTGCGTGACTAAAGATTGAAGAAGAGCAACAGGATTGCCTGATGTTACGGAAAACGATGACGCATTAGCACCTGGATTAAAACTGTTGATGACGTGGTGTGAATTAGGGTCCACTGTAGCTGTGGCACAACGTAGCCAGTTCAGTGTGTTTGCCAAGCCTGTCGAAGAACCAGTAATCGGATTAGCTGGTAGCGTAACACTAACTGTTGTCAGAGAATTATTTATAGAACAAGGCTGAACGACACCACTTCCTAAGGCTGAAGAAATAATATTCTGAGATGAGTTAGCAGACGCTATTGGTATTGTGCCCAGAATCTCTCCGGATGGCCCTGTTAAGGCTATTGAAGGAGTATTCAATGTAGGTATACTTGTAGTTAGATTTGACCCATTGTTAGCAACTGGATTACTATTACTGGACAGTGAAAATGAAGAGTTAGAAATCGCTGCAGCAACAGCAGCCGCTAAGTTTGAGTTTAATATAAGATTCTGATTTGTGCAAGATGAAGAACTAATACACTGTGTCATTTGCTGAGTAAACCCCGAGGGATTGACCGTTTCTGAAGCACTTGGACAAACTGCTGTACCAATATTGTTAGCGAATAGCAATTTGGAAGACCCATTTGTATCATTTCCGGATATGAGAGTTTTTCCCAGGAGAGCATTTATCGGTAGAATCCCACAGAGGTCCCCAATATCCCCCAAGCCCAAAGACTTCGCTGAAATGGCATACTTTGTGCCAGAACTTATTTGGTTGTTCACCAACGCCGAGACGTCACTAGTGGTAACTTGTGGACTTAAATACCTATTAACAGTAGAATAGTGCATGGGGACAAAAGAAACACTGGCAGCTGTTGAGGATGTGGATAAAACCGAAGGTGAAGGAGGAACATCCTGTAAGCTACTACTTAAAGAAATAGATACCATATCAATGTCAGAATTCGAATTTGTAACTGATGGAATTTCCTTCATACAAGAGTTAGAGACAGTAACAATGACCTGTGGATCTATTCGAGGGACTTTTGCAGCGATATCTATATAGTCTTGAGATTTAGATGTCTGAACTGAATCTTCGACGTCAGTAGCAACATCTTCGGCATCACTATCTCCAGCGTGTGAATCAGAGTCAAAAACTTGGCGCTTAGGATTTCGACACTTCCTGCGGCAGCGGCGGTAGGCATTATCATCTGCGTCACATTCTGTTGATTGAAATACATCAGAAGGCTGAGTGACTAAAGCGTGTTCAGACTCGTTAGTATCAGGTTTTTCATCAGTTCGACCAACCCTGCCAACCTGGATAATCGATGGTGGTAATAGAGGAGGTGAGGCACCAGGAGAGTGAGTAGAGCTATGCTGCTCACTTTCAATATCCTGTGAATAATCATCAGTAGCTTCAGTTTTGGTTGGATTATGGTCAGCAGAAATCTTAACAGAATTTAGTGTGGAATAATCGGAGAGACTCTTAAGCTTTTCAGACGCTCCTTCATTGGCAGCGGAAAATGAGGAATCAATCTTTATAAACTTTTCGCACCCATTATCTGTTGTGTAAGACAATATGCCCAAAACATCAAGTCTTTTGGAATATGGAACATTTTGTCGTATCAAGTCAGTCAGTTGTCTAACAAGCTCCTGATCACTATTATGTGGAGCAGAATAATTTTGCTTCGAAAATAAAAGAGACATATGGCGATACTATATAAACAATCGATGTTCACCACTCACGTGAAACTGACCGGCAAGTAAAGACTGACGATGACGAATACTGGAAGCACAGTTAAAAGGCCGCCGACTTCAAGGTCACAATATACAATACAAAATACCATGTGAAAATATTAAATATTATCTTTGAAGGTAATGATTAATTGATATAATTTCCAAAAACCTTTCGTCACCGCTCTTCGTTGAAGACAGTCGTTTAAAATATTTACCTAAATTTTCTAATTTAGCGAAAATTTTATGTATCCAGAAGGTCATAAAAATTCTCGGTTTTTCACAAAGTGAAAACGTTTCATCAAAGGTTTTTAGGGTTGTTCAAAAATAATTCGAGATTTTTCATCACAGTTCCTCCAACATTCTTCCCAAATCTGATAAAATTTACTCCAAAATCGGGAAATTGTGTATCTAATATTTCCAATGATCTTGGACGAAACAGAATAGGTCTTCGCACAACGAGTTTCAGTATCTAGAATTAGTGGGTCACTGGCGGCTTCAGATTAAGATCAAGGTATATGTAGCAAATAAAGGCGAAGTATCCATAAATTGTAGTGACATACTGTGTTTATTACCTAAGAGTAGATCAAATTTTTCTTCAAAGGTCCACTGATATATCGCTTGGATTAGCTCAGCCGGCAGCAAATCCCAGCATTCAACAACTGTTAAGGCGTAGAAGGCGCGCTTACAGTTCATTCTGTTCTCTTGTATCTCATATTTGTGGTGATATCATCAAGTTTTGTGTTAACACCGAGCTCACTTAGCTATTCAAGGGGGTGTTTAAAAGTGTTTTGGATGTTATAAATCATGAGATCACCTGTGAGCCGCCTATATTATGATAGGCAAATTTTCAGTGGTTCGAAGAGATTTTCACAAGGTTTGAGTTTAAGCCTCCTAACGACTTCGTAACTCACCGTTGGATGAGTTCAAGTGCGTCCTCTTCCTTGTGAAGTGAGGGGGTAACTACAATATTTTCACACTCTAAATGTGGTCGAATAAAACTGATGAAAATTAGATGGGAAGTTCTACTGTCAAACATGCCAAAAATTTGCTCCAACGTTGCCGGCGCAAGACTTTAGATCGGATCTTTTCCAACTTGGGATATTCCTAGAGGGGAGTTAACTAAACTTTATGAATAGTCTAAAAACTGTCCCAGATAAATCTCTTTACTCTTCGAATTGTTGAAAATAAGTTCGTCCTAATCCGCTGAAACTCGAAGTCGAGCCAGATTCTCATGGAGTGACGGCTTGTCACCTTGGTCGAAAATTTCTTCACAACGTTTCACACTGTCTATGAAAAATTATGAATCATACAATGCTTGATGAGGTAGGTCATGTAGTTGAATCAAAAAGAGAAGGATTTCTAGTGTTCGGCCCTGAGGAAACCCACTAGAACATTCTATAGCAAGTGAAAAGTTAAATTTACCCTTACTTTAAACTATCTGTTATTTAGATAGGTTCATACAGGAGTCACTCTTCCTGACTCAATGTTTTCGGGGTGAAAATAATAATAATAATAATTTATTCTCAAATAACAGTTTGTAACATGAGGCATGCCAGTTTACAGGCAAGATCAAATTAATACAAATGATACAATATACACTGTATTAAATTACATAGCTGGGTTGAAAATTTATAAGACATGAATGTAGATTGTTCTAATCAGTGCTACAGTTGGCGCGCTTCACGAGAGTTGCGTTGCGAATGTGCGACTGATGGTCAAGAATAGGTCCATTGAAGGTATGAGCTTCTAGAAATCGCAACCTTATGTCCCTTTGCAATATCCAAGGCTTTAAGGATGGTGCAGGATGAAGTAACCTGTTCCATGTCTCAAGGGGGCTGACACGTATTCAGTAAAATCACCTCATACCAAAAACTCCACCAATTTTTGGGGCATTGATAGAGTGCTTCCAACAGGTAGCCTTAAGGTTCATTGTGTCTGCTTCCTTTAAGAATGGGCGATTGTCGTAAACAGAGTTATGGCAAAGTAAATGCTCAAAAATCACGCTAGGTGGTGTTACTAATACCGAAGCAGCTACTCCCAGTGCAACAGAATGAGCCATAAACTGGCCAGTAGAAGTTCCCTTGGTAAAATACTGCAGTTTCTGGTACGTCAGACCAGTGCCCAAGGTTCAATTCTGATGCTCCTGTCGACTTTCAGACGAAGGTTTCATCGATGTAGTCCCAAAGCTACAGTTTAATTGTTTGAAAGCATTGTTATTTAGTTGTTTATTGGGCCATAATGACCTAACTACCTGAAAACCCTGGTTTTGGCTTATTAGAGAGAGGATGTGTGATGGAATAAGCTTTTCCGATCAGGGATACATTTTTCGAACGACTTGTCCTGTTAATGAAGCCTATCTTTATCTATCACCTTCGCATACTGGCTTCTTGCTTGCTTGAATTATTAGTCCCCGTCCCTTCCACGTTTCTTCTTGTTTTAAACTGTTTATAAGTAGAATGGTCAGTCACAATAAGTTTTGTGCTTATTTCTTGCATCATATGGCCTGTCCGAATGCATTTGAGTTGGTATTAGTGTCTGCGCACGCAATGCTTCAATAATGGTAGCTACCATTCGAGAAGATGGGTGGGTTATAATCAGTGTCCAGGGTCTAGGATTTCCTTTTTTCGTAGCTAATTGTCCCATTTTTCGGATCAATATGTTCATAACCTTTAAACAGCTATATAAACCCAGTCTGTATTATTAGGGCCTGTGTTATCCGGGACACCATGTCCAGTAATATTTCGTCATGATAATTTTAATGAGATTCCGTTCACGAAGTGACATCAGGCATTATCATAACAGGTTTCATATCACTACTAGTGGAATACAGAAAGCTTTCGTTAAACGGGCAGCATCGGATCGCAGATTATTCTAGACAGAGACTTTGGTACATGATAAAAGTAGATGAGTTCTTCAGAAGGACTAAACTTAAGACCCCTACGTTAGTTCGTGATTGTCCTTTTGATACTCACCAGAGTTTGTTGTGGAGGAGGGAAAAACCTTATTTATATTCTGTAAATTGGGCCATAAAGCAGGTAGAAAACTTTTTTGTCATCCTGGTCAAAATTGTATTGCGAACTTACCCCTTCAACGACTATCGCATGCACAGTTTTGCTAGTGTAAGATTTAGGCCATAGGGAACCGAAACGCCGAAATGTATTCCCACTAATTAGACTTCTAATGCATGACTATTCAAGTCATTTGTTGTGTTTGTAACATATTATATATGAGCCACTTTAGACACTAAAGTTGAAGGTTTGTCCAGGATTGGCTTACCGACCTTGGGAACGAGTCAGAAACGCTGGCTTATTATTCATGTAGCTGGTTCCTCTCTAAAGCGCTGAATCACCAGGAAAATAATTAAATTTCAAATGAAAAATCTGCTTATACAAGGGGATAAGGTCAGAGATTCCAGTACCAAACATTCCGGCACCCTATTAAGACAACGTGCAGCATGTGGAAATGACTGGATTATCCTGGCTTTAGATAGATTACTTAAATAAAACGTAAGACCATCAAACAGTGGTGACTGAATGTTTACCGTCTTGAACTTGTTGTACGCGATTTTCTGACCCTACCAAAAGGTTTTGGGAAATCAAGATATTGTACATGAACTCTCAATCGTGTGTTGAATGTTCATAGTTCAGCTGTGTCCACTGCACCTCGAGGGTTCGCAAAACGAGTACTACCTATCATGAAAGTATACTTTTAGTTTTAAAATACATTTATAGATATCAGATGGTCATATAAGCTGTCATAAATCAGAGATATCGTAGTCGTAACGGGTAATGGAATGAGGGTCACATGGCGGCCGTTAAAACGCTTTCTATCCTACCCTCTATAGGAGATTTTCACGTGTCAGCTTCCACTTGTCTGGCATCATTCCCTGGTTCAGAAGAGCAAACTAGGGGCTCATATAAGTATAGTGGAGTGACCATGCCCGCAAAGAGATACAACCTCCTTTGGATGATGTCGTTCGTATTGGCCGGTCTACTTCTAAGGTTTACTCTCTGGATTCCTGTGGTGCTAGAGTAGGCGATTTCGTTCGAATGTCCCGAACTACAGTTTAGCCACTGGCTCTGTGACACCATCCTTCGTATTGGTTGCAACTTGAGGACCCAATAACAACAAGTTTCGGTTTTTGGTTTGTCTAAAGGAGTCGCATTACTAAGTAAACTCTCATGATCAGGAGCGAAACTGCCGATGAGCTTAATCTGGTACTGGTGTTCGTCTTCTCTTGAGGTATTTGTAGAGTTTTGGGCCATCTGTATGCGCTTTCATAACTGAAGCGTCATTCAGCAAGAGTTCTTATTGATGGTCCACGTCAAGCTGAAAACAGGCCTCTCACGTATATAGCAGCATCACTTCTTACTCCTGTTTTCCTGACTATGAGAAACAAAGACATCATGTAATCCCAGCTCTCAGTCCGTAGTTTTGAAAGATACTCACGTCTCAGTTATGCCTGTCAGGTAGGAATAACTGAATTTTCAGGTTCGTAAAACTTATCCGTTTTGTTGTTAAATCCTGACATTCGCAGATAAGTGGTTGACGATTTTCATTTTAAAATCACATATGCTGTCGAATCCAAACTACGGTTTGGATAGAAGAATAGCCGTCCAGGTACGTTAGGCACGCGCCCTTTCCCGTCGAAATCAAAACAAGTAATCGGGTAAATAGCGGTTCTATAATTCATCATAAATTTAAATGTAAATCGTTTCCTAAACAAATATTACCACCCGGCTATTCAACCAAAAATTGTTCAATCAATCAAGTCTAAATTGCAATAAATAAAGAAGTTGATAGAAGATGAGGGAAAATTACCAGTCACAACAAATGAACGTTATTCTATCCTGACTGGATAGAACATACACAAAAGGAGGAGCAAATCAATATGGCTACCGCCAAGAACGAGTGTCAAGTAAAACAACACAGATGCAGTTCAAGAAGAAACACAAACTTAGTAAATGCGTAAGAAAAACAAAAACTATAATAAAAAATACAAGTATTAACAATTCAAATGTAATCAAAAGACAACAGTGTACAACGAAGGGGATCAATAGGAACAAAGTACAAGTATATATATGGAGGGAT